CTCTGTTGCAATTGGGCAGCAGGTTCGGCAGTTGTAGGAGACAACTCAACTCAGCTATGTCCTACCTGGGCACCAGAGAGAACGTGCAATTTTGAAGATTAGATGTGCCTAATTTTGATATGGTTTTAGAAAACTGATATGATGCAAGTAGATTTGAAAATTTCAACCCCAGTTTATAATTTTGGGGACAAAACCCTGCCATTTCTGCCAATGGTCAGGTGTATCTCAGTGTATAGGCAGTTTCACTGGCAAGCAGTAGGGATACTTAAGTACTAACATAGTACTTGAGATTAGATGGCAGAATACAGCTCACAGATTATTAATAAAGACTTTCAAATTACCCCTTTCATTTTGGCCTGTTTGCTATGTTTATAACATTTCTAATACACATACGGTGTATTTAATTATAATGCATTTCTTCACATGAAAGTAATACTTAAGATAATTAGTGTCTTTTCATGTCACTCAAGCTGGCCATTGAAATGATTTCCTCGCAAGGTCACAAAGATCCTTTATGTAGTATTTATGCTATTTATATTCAAGCCTTACATAACTCTAATTATAAGTGGTTAAAGAGAAGATCCTTTTAGATTGGTCTCCTCATTCCCACTTCAACCCTTTCCTGGAGCTCTGCAGATGTACTTCACATTCATGAGCATCTGAAACATACCTCAGTTTTGCATTTGTTTCTAGCAAGTATCCTTTTCTTGGATCAAATCCATTAGTTCATTTCCCTTGAGCTACTGTTTCAAATGCAGAAGGATAATGTTTAATTTCAGGTAAAGACTATTTTAAGCAGAATAGGCTTTCCAGTTTATAAAAATAGTTTTTGTTAAAGGTATTTTTTTTGTTTTGGGTTTTTTTTTTTGTCAAATGTTTTTAACATGACTGAGTTGCTGGGTCATTACTGAAATGCTCTGTTTTGGAGACAGTGATGTTTCCACACGGTATCTTAAACAGGCTTCATATTTGTAATCAACTGCTACTTTTGGAAAAGGTATGCAGCGCACCGTAGGGTGAATTCACACGTCCTTTTCTGTTCATGCACACTGGCCTGTGGGCTATAAATGGAATTGCAGGATGAATTTCAATGGGCACGTGCCAATTTGCACGATAAATACGTGTTGATGAGTTACAACTTTGTTGATATGCCTCAAGTAGTTTAAATAAAGACTGTGCCACATATAATTTTCCTGTTATTTTTAGAAGTCCAGCTCCAGTGCGACCTGAAACTACGCCATCAACTGGCCCTACAGAAAAGCAAGAAATTAAAGTTTCTCGTGTGAGGAAGTTAACAAGACAGTACAGTTTGTGAGTAACATATAGCACTATCTGCATGTTTTTGCCTGCTACAGCTGAAAATGAAGGGGGATGCTAATTATTGCTCTAGCTGTGACTTCTGAAAGGCATGAGTGCAATTACATGATAATGATCTTGCACTGATACAGTTCCTTTCATCTCTCAGAATCTTAAAGCTTTTAATACTTAATGAATTTGCCATCCCTGTACAGTTACTAACACTTAGAATTACAGGCCTTTTTTCCAAGGTTATAGGCTAGGAGTTAAAAGTCCCTTTTCCGCGTGAAGTGTCAAAGACTTGGTGCGACTTGGAGCAAGCTACCCTGCCTGCTCCACTGCAGTCCCATTTAGAAAATGAGGAGAACAGTCCCTATGTCATTATGTGGTCTCTTAGTCCTGGCAAGATAGATCTATCCCTCCAGAGCTTCGACATCCCATTTGCACTGAATTTGTCTGTTTTTGGAATCTCTTGAGTTGTGAGGTGCTGAATAGATGTGGAAATCAATTAGTTAATTTGTCCTTCCTGTGAAATGGCAGATAAGGCCATCAGATACTAAGAGTTTAAACTGAGTGGAAAGGCAAGGGAGAGACAATATGTGCCTAAAGTTATTAATACAAGAACACCAATGCCATAACGAACAAGAAAAGTATGTATGTTTGCTATGTGGAATACAACCATTAGCCTCTCCAGCAATTTTGCATTCAAGTGTCACCAAATATCTAGCAATATTAGCCAGAGTTTTCCTTCCATCCAAAAGATTTCTCTTAAATATCAATATGTAGTTATTTCCTCTCTCACTATTAAGAACACTTGCTTTTGAGGTGGAACAAAAGTAACAATTTATATCAGCAAAACTGAAAAATATTTTAGGAGAATAAACAGAAGAAAGAATCAGCTTGAAACTATGAAGTAAATCAGAAATTAGCAAATGGGCATTTGTCCAAGAGACCATGGCTGACATATGTGAACACACAGTCACAGCTTGGTCAGCGGGCCCTGACATGGTCTCTTTTACCGTGATACATCAACCAGCATGGTTTGAAAATGAGACAGGAGAGGGGAATTGACAACTCATGCTAGGAGAGATTGTTAAACTTGCTCCTAAAATTCTGATTCCTGGCAAACAAAGAGAAGAGGGTTATCCAGCGTAGGCGATTTTGGTGTAAATAATACCTCAGTGTCTGACCTGCAGCCGTGAGAAATGCAGAGAAATAGTGAAGAAGCTGAGCGCTCAGGCTTATAGCTAGCGTGCTGACAGCTTGCTGCCTGGTAAGACTGGGCGCTCAGTTCAGCACTCAGCTTTGGGACGGAGAGACTATGATGCCTTTCTGAGTTGGCAAGTTCTCAGCCATTTTCTGCTTGCTTGTATGCAACAGAACAGGCTTACCCAGCAAGGATGGGGAGGGTGCCAGTGTACTCCTGCTGAGAGCAGGGAGCAAGGACTGGGGAAGTGTCAGCTGCATGTCTCTGAAAGAGAGATTAACTAGGTCAACAGCCCAAATCTGGCTTGTTGGCATTCATAAAGCACCTATTTAATAGGCCCAAAAGATTTTACATTTTCTTTTCAGCATGAAAACGGCGTGTTGTACATGCTTTTCTTATCTCAAGAAAGTTTTATTCAGAATCTCTGAAAAAAGTCTCTGAAGAAATCTTTCTTCTCAGAAGTAACTGGTAGCTAGGTTAAACTGTAAAACTGTGCCTTTTTATAACAAAACAAAACAAAAAAATCTTCCCAGGACCTTAAGCTATCAGACTGGGTCATTTCCTTTTTCCATGTCATTCCTAGTAATAAAGATTCTGGGGGCCAAGTTATGCAAGTTTGTGCAACTTGTTTAGCAACTGAGGACCAAAAATCTAACCTAGGCCTGACCAGTTCCAGTTATTTGCAGTTGGTGAGAACTTCAGTCCTTTAAAGCCAGTTTGAAAACAAAAGCATGAACCAACTGTATAAAGGGTGCCAAATCTCCCCCTTGGCCTAAAGCCACTGAAGCAGTTGGTCCCATGGAGGGATCTAACCAGACTTTTCCTTATCAATAGAGCCAGCCTCCAAAGGAAAGAATATAATCATGAAAAGCAGAGTGATATCAGCTAGGTTAATGTATTCATATACACATACTCCATAGAAACATTACTTGCCTGTCATACTCATAAAATTTCCATTTGCAGTTGAGAGTTAACTAGCCAATCAGCTTGCGAGGAATCATTAAAGCTTTCTTCAAAAAAACTAATTTATTTGCAAAGATAGCTGTGAGTATTGCATTACGCATGGAAGAGTAAACAGAACTTCATCCCAAAGCACTACAGCCGACATACAGGTTACCAGCATCTCCTCCGGCACGAGTACGGTCAAAGTCGTGTAACATGTTTTAATGAGAAGATCTGCCTGTGCTTTTAACAACTGCAGTGATGAAGATGACCTTCCTCCAGCACTGGCAGCAGCGGCAGCAGCAGCCACATCTGTGTCTTCAGCATCTCCCAGCTCACAGAAAATGTGTACGCCACAGATGTCGGAAGGGCAAGCACAGGTTTCGCCTGGTGCCAAGGTAATATGCGAGGAGATGAGCTTATGTCAGGTGGGAGAGCGTTCAGGAAGGGTGAGAGGGCATTTCAAGGGATATTTTAGAGTGATTTGACATTAGGGAGTATTTTTTCGTGTCGGATTGTAGAATTATGTTAATCTGTAGTGTAAGTACAGCAGCAGGGAAATATTCAGAGCCTGCTCCAAGGCACAACTAAAATCAGTAATAGTCTTTTCATCAGCTTTAGGGGACTGCGGACCAGGATTAAATTAATATTTACTTTGATTGCAAAGATGTATAGTTTTATTGTCTCTGTCTCTCTCCTGAGTAGCCATATTTAAAAAATGTTCTGTGAAATCTGAAATTCATTTGACAATCTATGCATTAAGGAATTAAAAAAGACACAGAAGCACAGAAAGGAACTGATTATTCAAAGCTGGGTTTCTTCTTTGCCCTTAGAGTTCCACAGATGCTGGAAGTACATTTGCTTTGGAGCCAGGAGACCTCCTGATGGATTTCACAGAGGCCACACCTATGGTAAATAATTTCAGTTTGCAACCAGGAAAATGTAAAAGTTTTCAATGATTTATCTGCAGCTAGAATGAATGGGCTATTATGCAGTGTGTTGGATAGTGCAATAGCATAAAGTAAGTTCACCTTGATATTCAGTGGTCCTGAGCACCCATCAAACTCAGCTCAGCATCTCTGAAAATCAATGCACATCAGCAAATATTATGGCTGGGATTTTGAATGCAATTTTGTATTCTCAGATGACTTGACTTCTCATTTCTCTCTCCTACCTGGATATCTTTACACCCTGCTGTACTGGTTTCTCCAATCTCTTCTGCCCCTTTAACTTCAAAATAATAGATTATTATTTGTTTTTGAGGGTTGTTTGGAAAGTCCCTTCTTCTCCCTACGAGTTTTGTTCAGACCTCACCCAACAGCCAACCCGAAACCGTGTACATGCACTTTCATGTTTCATTAGTAGAATGCCTTGCTTCAGTTTAAGGCAAAAATAGTCTATAACGTGTTGATTATTAACTTTTTTTTTTTTAGAAGTACATGATTTATGGGTTTGCTTAAAAGCAGAGGAGAAATGCTAGTCCCACTGAGGTCAAAGCGCCTCTTGATTTCAGTGATCTCAGGCTATCATCTCAGATTTCCAGTGGATTTTTTGAAGGATCACATTATGATTCTGAACTTTCTTGAAGTCGTCCTGCATCACAAATACCATCTAATGTCAGATAGCTCCTCTGCTGTCAAAAGCCATTTTTGCTATGCTCTAGGAACTGTGTTTAAAACAAACAAAATGCGCAGCAGAGAGAGTGCTGCATTTTTGGCATAGATGTTTTAGCATTAAAGTACTTTGGTTCTGGAAGTCGCTTTCGTTGCAAGATTAGATCCTGGTTTTGCGAAGGAGTTGTGGGGAGATGCCTCTTACTGCAGAGGCAGTATGGTACCAGTCAGTAAATAACTGCATGTGCCCTATCACCACCGGGTGGGTGACATGGCTTCTCTGGCAAGTCTGATGAAACGAAGGCAGCTGTAACTGTGTCCTCTCTGTTGCAGCCTTTCCCTTTCTAGGCTCCCCTTGCCTTTCTCGCAGTACAGGTGCACACAGGACATGAATATTCAGCTGTGGCTTTTTGGCTTCTGAAGCAGGTTGAGGCGTGTGCCCAGAGTACAGCCTGGGAGGCTGAGAAAGCCGGGGCCGGTGCTCTGGGTACCTGCGCGCGGCCCTGCCATGGGCTGCCCTCGGCATGCACCATGCATGATGCAGGTCCAGAAACAAAAAAGAAGGTTTCCTCTTGGAAACCTGATAACAGACCATCTCCGTGGAGCCCAGGAGGCTCATCTTTTTGATGAGCTCAATTTCCTTGGAAGCCTGGTCTTTAGACTTTGGTTGTTAATTGGCATGCTAGGCCATGCTTGTTAGGAAAGTGCTTAGTATTCTTGGCACGCTCCCAGCGAGTCCTGGGCCAGGAGCGGACTATGACGTGGGCACGGGGTGTGCTATGACTAAAGACCTGTCACTGCGGAGGGAAAGACAGGTTTGGGGCAGGGAAGTAGATGTAGTAATTGCAGGAGTTAGTGAGCACCAAGAAGTGCTGCCAATATGCTGCAGTTCGGTGATAGACACTTGTCCTAGAAGGACAAGCGTGAGACTCTTGGAATCCTTGAGGGCACTTGATGGGGCTGCTAGTGCCTGCTCTGTGCTTGCTGCCCTGTCTGTTGTCTCTGCCCTTCAGCCTGGCACAGCTGAGCGGTCCTTGCGCTCCATGGGTTTTACGTTGTGCAGGTGGTGAACCTCTGAACTGCAGCAAGCAAAATGCAAGGGGCCTCCTAGCATCTGCTGGGGAACTGCTGCAGCACTGGCAGCTCTAGTGGAAATAGACTGCTTGCTGCTCCTGCTTCTACTGTGTAGGAGGGACAGGCCTGCTTTTGCACCCAAAATGCCTTTGCAAACTGAGAAGCATCTACTGAAATGGGAAGTGTTACCTGGGGACTCTTTAAAGTCCTGGAGGATGAAACCATCCAGTTCTAGAAAGGGAGAGAAAGAGAAGAAATGCAGTTAAGAACCAATCTCCCCAAATATTTCTAGGGGAAGAGGAAAATTAAAGGGAGCAAGAGAGAGAAAGTGTAGGGTTCAAAGATCTGCGGACTTTGCCTGTAGTTTGGGTTGGCAAGACGCACACAGATTGAGATGTAGAGATTACCTTGACCTTCTTGGTCTTAATGACAAGATTGTGGCTAAACTTTAAGAGTTATCCTTTAGAGCTTACTAGCATATTTCTTATTCTGAAAAACATTATACCGTATCTTGCTGTCATATTTTCGAAAATCAGTCATGGACATTTTAGGAGCTGACCTGCTCTAGATTACATAGATTTATGTTTTGTTTCAGTGTCAGCGTTACAATTTTGCTTTTTGAGCTGAGGATAGAGATTTTTTTCCCTAAAATTTTACCCAATCGTCCTTTTCCCTTCCCTACTCTGTTTGTTGACATCATTTCTCATGCTGTATGTTCACGAATCCATAACTTTTTTGGCTTTGATAATTCAGAGAGCATGTACTGCACAGCATCAATCAACCCTTTTTGTTTTGTTTAACATCTCCAAAGGTCAACTTGTGCTCTAAAGAGCAGTTATTGTTTACAGACCTTTCCCTGCAATTTTCACTGGCTGCAGCTTGCTTTCAAGTGAGTGTCTGAATGAAAAGTTTATTCGTAAGAGGGAGAGGCCCCAAACAAAGGCAAGCTCGGGGAAATATTGCATTTTGAACTACTCTGATTATGTAACAATTCTGCTGTGACAACATCAGCTGTCATTGGAGGGTCAAGATCATCTACAGCTCAGCTTCATGAAGTCAGTGATAGTATGTTGGTTTTACCCACTTTGATCTGGCCCTTGGGAAGTTGCTTATTAACTGTACTCATATTTGTTTCATATTCAGTGACATGTGCGATATATAAAGGAGTTATTCATACTGCCTAATTTGGGGCATTTACCTGAGGTGACAGGGTTAGAAGTTTAGGTTTCCCTATTGTTGGGGGATTCTGCAGAGGGACACTCAAAACAGCTGGCTTCTCTTTGTCATCTCAACTAGAGAGACCAAGGCACCTGAGTCAGACATCTAAAACCGACTTTCTTACTTTGGTGATGATATATGCTGCCATGCTTTCCCAGAACTATTCTTTCAAGAATAGTTCTTTCAAGAACTATTAATTTGAAGCTGTTTCTGACATCTTGCTCCCTTTTCTTCTATAACATTGGTGGCAGAGAGTGAATAATAGTCCCTGAATCAGCTGCACGATTTTTGGTGTTCAGTGTCTAATCGTTGATGCTTCTTGACGGCCTTGGGTTTTATCCATGCTTTGGCTGCTGTTGCCCATACAGTGGAAGCTTTAATATGTGCTGAGGGTTACAGTTAGAAATGGAGCTCACAAAATCACATTATTTCATAAAAATGGAAGGATTAGTGAATGGACTGGATTAATGTAATTAATCTGAGCTGCCACGCAGGGATCAGAGTAGGCAAATTTGTCTACTGCATCAGCCTTGAGGAGCCAGCGTGATGTATACAAGAGCTGACTGAGCTCTGACAGTCACTTACTCATCGATACTTAGACTGCCAATAACAGCAGGACAGTTGCGAGGCAGACCGTTTTCAGGAAATCATTTTGCAGGAGAAATAATGCATATTGAGTAATGCACATTGCCTAGAAGTGAAAGGTATTATTTTCTGTGCTGCATTCCTCAAGCTGTGTGGTTTATGTAATTTTTGCTTTATGCACGATTTTGTCATTTTTCAAGTGAAGCCTACTATTAATTGATGGCGAAGCATGATATGCTACCTTTAAAATCAATACAAAATGTACAGAAGAAAATCCCCATCTTTCTATACCACTTCATTGTGACTTTAAGCACTGTACCTGGCTTGTTTGTAAATAAGATTCAATGCCTGCTGCATCATATGTCTTAGAAAAGGACCATGGACTTTTTGGAAAAAGCCAGTGTTATATATGAGGAATTATAGCATCGCATTATGAGCAACGCTATTGTGGTTTATTAAAGCTAGTTTTACCACTGTAGTAGGCTCTTTCTGCCATCAAACTGCGTCTCCCTGCCTCTCTTTTTCTCTCTCTCCCCCTCTCTCTCTTTTAGTGTTTCTAGCTTTTGTGGAACTGGAAAACAAAGCTTGAGCTTAAAGCTATTCTGTTTCAGCTTTCAATCAGTATGATTTTTGACACAGGAATGAATGTAGAGCTTTCTTGTTTAATTACAGCAAGCTCAGTACTATAACCCTGAATGGACTCAGCTGCTGCACCATGCTGACAAACCCCTCCCTAACCAAGACAGAAAGGCAAAGTATGCAAACTTCAGTTTGACCTAATAGTGTAGGACAAAATATATTAGAGTAGACAGTCTTATATACCAAATGTAGCTATTCCTAAACCTGGACTAAAATTTATAATGCAGGGTGCATGAGCTAGGACTAAATCATGATCACATCTGAAGAGATATCAGAGCGCACTGATTCACAGATGGCTATATACTTGCAAATTATTCGTGTTCTTATTTTGTGCTCTAGCAAGTGAAGAAATTTCTAGAGCTTCCTATGCCACCTGTTGGTGGAAAATAGTAAGTAGAAAATTACTTGCCTTTCTCAAACCTGAGGTGCAAGATTTAAGGAGCATAAATTACATGTATGATTATTTAAAAATGAGAAACAAAATAGTGTTGCTTTTTTAACTAAGGATTAAAATAGCCTTCAACGTAAAATTAGATATTTTTATTTAGGATGAGTTGGGAACAAATGTTTTTATTTGAGAAACAGTGTTACCAGTCCAAGCAATCCTGTTGATGGCAGGTGATTGCACTGAGTCTGAAAGAGGATAGTATTGGGTGCATTAGCAGCTATTGTTTCGGAAACAAAAAGAAAGTAACCAGTGTTAAATGCTGCCTCCTCTGGAGTCGCCTACTAACTTTGGGCCTCTCAACCTAGAGACATTTGACATTCCTCAACCCAGGTCG